ACTTACTCGCATAGCGTCCAGTAATATGAAGAATCGGAAACGCTGGATTTCTGCCGAAACAGCTTCTAAATCTGACCCATTCAACTTGTCCTTTCTTGATATCACGGATCTTGCCACCTATATATATATGTCAACAAAAGCAATATACAGTGAGCCCTGATGATGTGGATGTAGTTGGTGCATCAAGAGTGTCCCAAAGTCCAGTCTCATTTTCCCTTAGACTCACATTATATAATTTTAAATTGGTGTTTTATGGACAACATACTCACCATAATTCCATGAAAGAAAAAATTATCTCCCATATTGAACTGATTCTATCCATATATTTCAACACAATATGGACATTTGGGGAATTGAATACTGATACCTATCTGTATACAGTGCAAAGAAATGTTGGCATTCTCTGTAAAAATAAAAATCAAGTGAAAAAGAGAGAAGGAAGTCTCCCTTATTTATGCTGGAGGTGATATTTTAAAATTAGCTAATTGGATGGTAAATTGACGAGAGAAATGCCCAAGAACTTTTTTGCATCAATTTTAGGGTTGGAAATATCTGTTTCTTATTGTAATTTGGCCTGAAACTTATTTTCAATTTTAGCACACAATGTCCATATGTTGAGTCAGTGTCCTCATGTTGGGCTTTTTTGATTGGTTTTGCATGGGAAAATAAGTTTCCCTATGTCAAATTGTCTGCATGTGGGGGGTCTCAATGTACAGCTATTATAACAAACTTTTCAAAAACATGGAGTATAAAGCCATTCAAAAATAAATTCAAAACCAGAACTCAAATAAGAGCGAAGTAGAAAAAAAACATAAGCTGAAATGTGAAAGGAATGTACAGCAGTAATATGCCATGAATTTCATCTTGAACAATCACCTGCCAATAAGGTCCAAAATTTTAAGATCCCCATCATTTTTGCAGCAGCCAAGGTTGTGTTGCATTCTCCTTGAGTCTTTCAGAATTTTGATAATAATTCGACAATGCAAAGGATATACAGTACATTGACAGATAGTTCCATATAATTGTCTTCTTATTGTTGCCTAAATGACACTCAAATACTGTACTTGAAAGTGCTTTGTCTATGCTGGTTCCTGAGTAAGGCCTATATGCATAACATTTTGTAAATGGGTCAACATCCTGAGTTTACAATAAATGAATTTGCTAATGTAAGTTGAACAATAGCCATTGAGCAAATATACTGTGCATACAGTATGTAACTAGGTGATACAGGTAGAACCTTGCAATTTGACCCTCATCCAATGCCAAACAAGGGTTGAGTTTTGAATTGATCAAATTGCAATAAGACACTTGGTCAAATTCAAAATATAAGTTTAAAAACGCAAAAAAATGGAAAAAGCAGGTTAAATTTCAAGTCAACCTCCCTGCAAATTCAACCACTGAATTGCAGGACAATCAAATTGTAAGGTACAATTGAACCTCAATAACTCAAACCTACCTAAGTTGAATTTTTTCAGGTCCTGTCTGAATCCCCTTAGAATTCATGCCATTAAACCTCCCAAAGTCAAAGGCTTTTCCCCTCAAACCTCCATCAGTCAAATTTTCTGTGGCCTGTTGGTTTTTAATTTCTTGACACAAGAAAGAAAAAAAGCAATAAAAACAGAAATTGATTTGTTTTAAAAGGAGGCAAGAGACATAATTAGGCAAATGAACCCTGCCTCCAAGTTTGGGGTTCTTTCAACTCATTTAAGAAGTAATTTCATCCTCAGAATNGAAATTAGTTCAAAAACCTATTCCTATGTAAGACGCGCAGCCTGGTTCTTTACTGTTGCTGAAAATAAAAAAATGTTAAATCAAGTTGAAATGTGAAAATGTTTTATTTTTAAATTCATTTTCCCTGGTCAATATTTTGTCTTTCTGTCTTTTTCCATCCACAGAAGCAGCTAAAATGCATTTGAAATATAGGATAGCTTCCTCAATTAGATGAATATTACCCCCTTCCTTCACTTCCTGTTGCATCTCCAAGGGATGAAACAAATTGAGCCAATTTTATTCCCCATGCAGGAAGAGACTTGGCGCCACACTTTTCCTCTTCAATTTTTCTTACTTGGATGTGAAGGGCACTGATTTCGGGAATTTCTCTCTAAAATTTATCCACAAGTACCACACGCACCTATTTTTCTGCCCCAATTTTTAGAAAAAAAGGTGCGCGTGGTACTTGAGTAAATACAGTAATTCTGAGCATACCTTTGAATTATTTTTGAAATTCATCGGAATTCCACGGTACAACATCATATAAACCGCTAAAGAACTGTTTCAATACTCACTTTGCGCAATCTTGAATCCAACCAGCTTGTGTAAAATGAAGGATTCAAATCCAAAATCAAAGAGGCAAGTGCTCCAAGAAGATCGATTCGGTTGCAAATATTGTCAGCTTGTATTCCATCCAATTGTTTCTTTTCCATGGTCCGTTTTTTCTTCCCTTTCGCAAGCAGGAAAGGACTATGTCCTGACCCGTCGCCACCCTACATATACAGGATGGGCCAAAAAAATGTGAACCAATTTTCGACTTTATAAATACCTCAGCAGCAAATTAAGCTGTGGCAATACCAAAGAAAAGCTTGTTCCATTCCCTTTTGAGTGGTATGCAGTTTTATGATCCCAATAAGTGCCCCGCCATGAACTGCTTGAATGAAAACTTCCCACAAAAAAGGTTGTCGGGCATGTTGGAAAAAACTTCAGCATGCCAATAATTTGGCGCGAGACAAGTAATTCTTCTGTTTCATAATCACAAGAAAATTTAGCTGCTTCTGCTGGAGCCTGAGAACCAAACCCAAATTTGGTTCCCAGGCCCAGCAAGGACATTCCTGAATAGATTTCTAATCCGCATCCTTCAACTCTTTCTTTCCTAATTTCTGGATTTCATTTGACCAGACACTTGCATTTGAATTGCAAACCCAAGCGGATCTAGGAGCAGAGAAGCTTTTTGTGCGTCAGTTGAAATCTCAAACAGTGAAACTTGTATGCCCAAAAATATACCTTTCTATAATAGGACAAACTTGTCCTGGCCGCAGCCCGGCTGATTGATCATGTTTATTTTATTCTGAAAAATTCTTTAACTCATACTCATAAATATCAATCTTTCCCAGCTCTTTTTCATCCAAATCATCTTGCATCTTGCTATAGGCATTTGAAAGTCTCAAGTTTCTTTTTATCATCTTTGTTAGAATTTATTTATCTCTCAAACACTTTTTCTCACAAGGCAACTTCCTCCCAATAAGCTGCAGTAGGGATAAATGGGGTTCAGAATCAATAATTTTACCCAGTCCCAAAATTTTGGAGGTGGGAGTCAGAAGTTTTAAAAATAAAACATTTGGCAGAGGGATGTTGCTCCCCTCCCAACCCCCAATGCAAGCATGGCTCCTGCAACCCCCTGCATGCAAATTTATTTGATGTGACCGGATTGCTCAAAAATCAGTTTCAGTCATCAATAAGCACAATTATTGATGAAAATCAGTTTCACTCATAATACATCACAATCCAGTCATAATGAAGAAATTTGCATGCAGGGATCACAGGTGCTGCTGGTGCCCTTCTCACACTGCCACTTCCTGAATTTTGGGAAAGTTTTCCCCCTCTTGAAGGCAGCAAGAAGTTTGCTGGTCAAATTATTGGTCCTTCACCCCGTTTATTTCTACTGCTGCAGCTTAGTATAGAAGGAGTTGCCTGACAACTTTTTTTATGGAAAGTTTATATTCAAGTAGTTCTTGATGTGACCATGTTGTGTCACTTAGGACCCACAAAACTGCATACCACTCGTGGGACCTGCTTTGTGATCATATCCTTCCTTCCTGTATGAACCAAGTGCCAAGGCTTCTAGGGAGCCCAGCACCAAACAAAGAGTCCCAAATAACTCATGCAATGATGCACAGCATTGTCTTTGATTCTGTCTATATTAGCCCATC